AGGCAGTCGCACAGCCTACAGCGACCCCTCAAGCGATCCCCCAGCCCTCCTTGGGGCCGCGGTTGGAAAGGCCTCCCAAGACCGAGCCCCGCGACACTCCGCCGCATTCTTGGGCCAGCTCGTCGTCAGCGGTCACCACCTCGACTTCAGTCCCTGTCCTACGTCACCCCGCCTCCGGGCTTCCTCAACCGACTTCACCGCCGTCGCCGCCGCGAGGCCGCTCAAGCACTCGTTCCTCGAGAAGTCCGCCCGGCGGACAGTCACAACAGTCGCCTTCGTCCGCGGGCAGTCCTTCGTCCCCCTCGTCGCCGATAATGTCCTCTCCCGCTGCCGTCCCTGATAAGGAGACGTTGAAGCTCCTCCTCCCGCTCCGATACGATGGGAAGTCGGTGATCGAATGCAACCGCTTCATCTCGCAGTTGCTCATCTACTGGACGATCAACACGGCCCTCTCTTCCCTCGAGCTAAAGATCCAGGTTGCCCTCAGTCTCCTTGATGGTGACGCGCGAGCTTGGGCCACCCCCATCTTCTCCCAGCTTGCCTCCGTCCAAATCGGGATCCAGGGAGTGACAACCCCCTTCGTCGACGAAAAGGCCTTCCTTCAGGCATTCAAGGCCCGCTTTGGCAATCTCGACGACACCGCTGCGGCACAGGTGGAGCTTACCAAGCTCTGCTCCGACAAAACCATGCGCGAGAAACGCACCGCCGCAGAATTCTCTGCGCTGTTCAAGGGTCCGGCGGACCGTTCCGGGTATGGGAACCTGGAACTACGCGACAAGTACCTGAGCGGCATCCCTTCCCGCGTCTATCGCAAACTCGAGCTCGAAACCTTCGCCACGTGGCAAGCCGCTGACAAGCGCGCCACCGAGGTCGAGCAAATCCTCGATGTTAGCCGGGCTCGTCGGCCCGAGCTAAACAGCTTCTTCTCGGCACGAGGTCGAGGACGCGGAGGGGCACGTGGTGGTGCACCCTCGTCACACGCAGCTTCGGCCAGCATCAACGCGGCCGTCGGAAAAGGAAACTTCCCCGGCACATGCTTCGGCTGTGGGAAGCAAGGGTACCGACGTTTCGAGTGCCCCAACTGTAAGGACAAGCCTTACACAAAACGCACCGACGCGCGGGCTACGGTTGCCTCGGGCTCCACCCAGGCCGCGACAAGCGCCCCCGTCACGACATCACCCTCGGCAAGTATAAGTGCCGCTTCAGCGAAATCCGAGCAATCGGAGCTGGCGGACTTAATGGCACAGGTGAAGTCGATGCGCGAGGAGCTCGAGCATTATCGGGCGATGAAGGAGGAGGGTTTTTGATCCGGTCCGCGCTTCGTGCCGCACGCGTCGGGCCGGGTATATCATGTAATCGTTATAATGTATTGTCGACTGCAATGGTGTATGAGTTGGACCAGGGGTCCCAGCACTTTCACATTCCAGTAAGACTCCAAGGGAAAAGACGGCACAAGGACATAATCGCTATGGTGGACAGCGGAGCCACCACGAAGTTTATCAACAAGCGATTCATTACCGAAAACAAGGTACAGACGCGGAAGTTGAAGGAACCAATTCCGCTGTATAATATTGATGGCACCCTAAATAAGGACGGAAGCATCTCGGAAGTAGCAGTACTACAGATGCAAATAGGAGAACACGTCGAGAAGACGGTGTTCACGGTCACGGACATCGGTCCGGAAGATGTGATCGTCGGGTTGGATTGGCTACGCGTGTCGCGACTTGAGGTCAAGCGACTGGGGAATACCTGAAGGCTGGGAGCGTCCGACTGATTCTCACCGAAGCGATGGTGAGCGAGGCTCAAACCTAAGGCTAGGGACAAGAATGTATTAGTTAGTAAGTAAAAGAAGTAAGTACAGGAGAGCTTACTGACCTAGGGACAAGAGGTCGAAACTGAGGTCCCTAGGGCAGCAGAGGCCGGCTTATATACATGGGGAGATTAGGGCAGGCTGTGCACGTTGGTCCGTGCGCAGCTGGTCTGTGCGCAGCATGCCGATGCGGCCCCGGGGGCCGGTGAGTCAGAGCGGCTGTGTCAGCGGGGCCCGAGCTGTGCCGTGCGCTGCCGTCCCATCTAATCTAATTGTACAGTAGATAGTGACGTGTCCATATCGGGCAGGTAGTACAGAGGTCGCGGGTTCGAGCCCGCGAAAAGGAAAAATTAAAAAACGGCTAGGCGCCGTACCAACTCGTGACATTACCCCCCCCTCAACGGCGCATGACC